GACAGGGTAGCATAGCATACCCTGGGGGCAGGGCTGGGACAGCACGTGGTCCCCTCGCACTTGCCTAAGTTTGCCTAAACAGGCACTTTAGACCGCTGAGCTATCTCGCTGGCCTAGGACTAATATTGAGTCAGCTTTATTTTATCTTTGCCCAAATGACTGGAACGTAGCAGACTCAAATATTTGTGAGATCAGTGAACAGATGTTGGGAATGAGTTCATGCTTGGGCTTTTCTGAGCTGGCCACTTTTTCTGTCTGTGTTCCTAGGACCTGGGTTTCAGTGATGAGACATGGGGTATGATGTAACCCGTTTCCAGGGGGATGTTGACGAAGACCTTATCTGCCCGATTTGCAGTGGAGTCTTGGAGGAGCCAGTTCAGGTGAGTTGTCTGGTCGGGCCTGTGGACGCAGCATGGCAGGTGCACTGGTGGAAAATATCCATTGACTTGGGTGTATGGAGCCATCCCTGTATTCTGCTCTCCCTCCCCAGCCCAACAGAGGTCAGGTACAGGGAGCAGGGATAGCTATAAAAGAATGATCTCTGGAATCTGCCTTGAGCCTGGTTCCCTAGGTCCTTAGTTCCAAGGCAGTGCTGGGACTTCCTGCCGTGAGATAGTCAGTGGCTTATTTCTTCTGACGATAGCTTGACAACAGCTGCCCTTCTTCTGTAGGAACTCTGACTGACCTTCTGGATTCCCATCTACATTTAGATGGTGAGCACTTCAGATAATCAGCCAATGCCGTCCTCTCTCACCTGCCTGATGGCTCATATGTAGGAAGGATGGAATTGGATTTACAGACCCATTTTCTTCCTGGGATCTGCTGATAGAAGCAGCAGTTTGCATTTTGATAAGAGAGCTGCCACCTTCAATTGGTCTCTCTCTGGCAGCCTTGCCAGACCAGAGTCAGGTGCATCTTCCTTGGCAGTTTGGGGAGTAGTCCAGGCTGACTAGGCAAGTTCAGTGAGAGAGATGAACCCTTAACAGATGCATTGATAGGACATCATCCTACATGACCATTATGGTCATTTTGCAAATAATCAAGTAGTTCTAGGGGCTGGGGAGATGGCTCAGTGGATAAGTGATTCCCTGGCAAGCACAAGGGCCTGAGTTCAGTCCCTGGTTCCACCAAAAAAAACCAACCAAACAAAAAAAAGTAGTTCTCTGCCACTCTGGCCAACTGTAAGTAATCCCATTTTCCAAACCAGGATGCCAGTCAGTTAGGTCTCCTTTGCTGCTTAGATAACTCCGAAGGGCTCCCTTTAACCCTAAGTTTACTTTCTCTGTAGTTTCTGACCACCCAAAAGAACACAGACACTTAAGCTGAAAAAAAAAAAAAAAAGAACAGACCATATTCCAAAAGTGGCAGCCAAGCCTTGACTTAAACCTTCCTATCCCTTTGTGGCCTACTGCCATTAGAGATACATGGATGGGTGGCCCTAGTTATTCTGGCAGTGTAAGGGTCACAGGTGTGTCAGGTTCCCTCCCTACACTGGCAGGGCTGTTTTCTGGTACTGTCATTTGAGGTGAGTCGTGTGTGGAGAGGTGAGTAGTATTTGGTAACAGCCTAAGTCAGTAGCCTCTCGTCTACCTCCAGAATTTACCTCCTGAGGGTGGGCATCCCTTGTGATGCCAGGCACATTCCCAGGGGTAGAAGAGCCGTGCTAGAGATGCTGCTTTCTGAATTCCATATTTGTTTAGTTTTTGAGGCAGGATCTCACTCTATAGCCAAGGCTGGCCTTGAACTCACTGCAGTCCCCTGTCTCAGCCTCCTAAGTGCTGGGACTACAAATGTGTGCCACCACACCTGGCATTACTTTTTATTTATTTATTTATTTATTTATTTATTTATTGTCAGGGCTGGGGATTGAGCTCTACCACGGAGCTGCCAGCCCAAGGTGGCAGGTTTAGGTAAGACAGGCATTGAAGAGGAGACAGCTGAGGTGAGACCTGGATGATAAGGGGACCTTCCTACGTTAAGATCCAGAGGAGGATCATTCTTTTAGGCAAAGGGCAGCAGTAAAATCAAAAGTCCCAAAAAGCAGAAATGAGTTAGGTGTAGTCAAGGTATAGAAAGAAAACCAAAAGCAGCCTGAACACTCTTGGAGCATTTCCTGGAACATGGTGCAAGGTGAGGAGAGGTCAGGCACAGGGCAAGAGCAAGCACTCTTACAGGTCTTGTGTAGAGACTTAGAGTTACTGGAAGTACACTGGAAATGATTTCTTTTTTTTGTCTTGGTGGCACTGGTGCTAGGGATTAAACCCAGAGAATATGTATGCTAGGCAGACACCATACCCCTGAGTTGTATCCCCAACATTATTTTCATTTTGTGATCAGGTCATGCTAAGTTACCTCAGCTGACCTCCAGCTTGTGACCCTCCTGCCTCATCCTCCTAGGTAGCTGGGATTATAGGCATGTGATCTGCCCCCATGCCTGCCTATTACATATTTCAAAGCAATGAAGTGAGATGATCTGGCTTGCACTTTTATTATTTTAATTTTATTTTGAGGGGCTGGGGAGATGGCTCAGTGGAATAAGCACTTCCCCAGCAAGTGCAAGGGCCTGAGTTCAATCCCGGG